CTCTGAGGACAAGGTTCCTCACTCTGAGGACAAGGTTCCTCACTCTGAGGACAAGGTTCCTCACTCTGAGGACAAGGTTCCTCACTATGAGGACAAGGTTCCTCACTCTGAGTACAAGGTTCCTCACTCTGAGGACAAGGTTCGTCACTCGGAGGACAAGGTTCCTCACTCTGAAGGCAGGTTCCTGGCTCTGAGGACAAGGTTCCTGACAATGAGGACAAGGTTCCAAACTCTCACGACAAGGTTCCTCACTCTGAGGGCAGGTTACTCACACCGAGGACGAGTTTCCTCACTCTGAGGAGAAGGTTTCGGACACTGGGGACAAGGTTCCTCACATTGAGGAGAAGGTTCCACACTCTGAGACCAAGGTTCCTCTCTCTGAGGACAAGGTTCCTCACACTGAGTAAACGGTTCCTCACTGTGAGAAAAAGTTTCCTCACTCTGAGGACAATGTTCCTCACTCTGAGGACAAGGTTCCTCATTCTGAGGACAAGGTTCCTCACTCTCAGGACAAGGTTCCTCACTCTCAGGACAAGGTTGCTCACTCTGAAGGCAGGTTACTCACACTGCGGACGAGTTTTCTCACTATGAGGACAAGGTTTCTCACACTGAGGACAAGGTTCCTCTCATTGAGGACAAGGTTCCTCACTCCGAGGACAAGATTCCTCACTCTGAGGACAAGGTTCCTCACTCTGAGGACAAGGTTCCCCACTGTGAGGGCAAGGTTCCTGACTCTGAGGACAAGTTTCGTCCCCCTGATGACGAGGTTTCTCACTCTGAGGACCAGGTTCGTCACTCCGAGGACAAGGTTGCTCATTCTCAGGATAAGGTTCCTCACTCTGAGCGCAAGGCTTCTCACTCTGAGGACAAGGCTTCTCACTCTGAGGACAAGGTTCCTCACTCTAAGGACAAGGTGCCACACACTGAGGACAAGGTTCCTCATTCTGAAGTCAGGTTCTTCACACTGAGGACAAGGTACCTCACTTTGAGGACAAGGTTCCTCACTTTGAGGACAAGGTTCCTCCCACTCAGGACAAGGTTCCTCACTCCGAAGGCAGGTTCTTCACTCTGAGGACAAGGTTCCTCACTCTGCCTACAAGGTTCCTCACACTGCGGACAAGGTTCCTCACTCTGAGGACAAAGGTTCCTCACACTGAGGACAAAGTTGCTCTCTTTCAGAACAAGGTTCCTCACTCTGAGGACAAGTTTCATCACTCTGAGGACAAGGTTCTTCACTCTGAGGACAAGGTTCCCCACTCTGAGGACAAAGTTTCTCACCCTGAGGGCAAGGTTCCTCACCCTGAGGACACGTTTCGTCCCTCTGATGACGAGGTTTCTCACTCTGAGGACAAGGTTCGTCACTCCGAGGACAAGGTTGCTCATTCTCAGGACAAGGTTCCTCACTCTGAGGGCAAAGTTACTCACTCTGAGGACAAGGCTTCTCACTCTGAGGGCAAGGTTCCTCACTCTAAGGACAAGGTGCCACCCACTGACGACAAAGTTCCTCATTCTGAAGCCAGGTTCTTCACCCTGAGGACAAGGTTCCTCTCTTTGAGGACAAGGTTCCTCACTCTGAGAACAAGGTTGCTCCCTTTCAGGACAAGGTTGCTCACTCCGAAGGCAGGTTCCTCACTCTGAGGACAAGATTCCTCACTCTGCCTACAAGGTTACTCACACTGTGGACAAGGTTCCTCACTCTGAGGACAAAGGTTCCTCACTCTGAGGACAAGGTTCCTCACTCTCAGGACAAGGTTCCTCACTCTCAGGACAAGGTTCCTCACTCTCAGGACAAGGTTCCTCACTCTGAAGGCAGGTTACTCACACTGCGGACGAGTTTTCTCACTATGAGGACAAGGTTTCTCACACTGAGGACAAGGTTCCTCACATTGAGCACAAGGTTCCTCACTCCGAGGACAAGATTCCTCACTCTGAGGACAAGGTTCCTCACTCTGAGGACAAGGTTCCCCACTCTGAGGGCAAGGTTCCTGACTCTGAGGACAAGTTTCGTCCCCCTGATGACGAGGTTTCTCACTCTGAGGACCAGGTTCGTCACTCCGAGGACAAGGTTGCTCATTCTCAGGACAAGGTTTCTCACTCTGAGCGCAAGGTTACTCACTCTGAGGACAAGGCTTCTCACTCTGAGGACAAGGTTCCTCACTCTAAGGACAAGGTTCCACACACTGAGGACAAGGTTCCTCATTCAGAAGTCAGGTTCTTCACACTGAGGACAAGGTACCTCACTTTGAGGACAAGGTTCCTCACTCTGAGGACAAGGTTCCTCCCACTCAGGACAAGGTTGCTCACTCCGAAGGCAGGTTCCTCACTCTGAGGACAAGGTTCCTCACTCTGCCTACAAGGTTCCTCACACTGTGGACAAGGTTCCTCACTCTGAGGACAAGGTTCTCCACTTTGAGGACAAAGTTCCTCACCCTGAGGGCAAGGTTCCTCACCCTGAGGACAAGTTTCGTCCCTCTGATGACGAGGTTTCTCACTCTAAGGAGAAGGTTCGTCACTCCGAGGACGAGGTTGCTCATTCTCAGGACAAGGTTCCTCATTCTGAGGGCAAGGTTACTCACTCTGAGGACAAGGCTTCTCACTCTGAGGACAAGGTTCCTCACTCTGAGGACAAGGTGCCACACTCTGAGGACAAGGTTCCTTATTCTGAAGTCAGGTTCCTCACTCTGGGGACAAGGTTCCTCACTCTGATTACAAGGTTCGTCACTCGGAGAACAAGGTTCCTCACTCTGAAGGCAGGTTCCTCGCTCTGAGGGCAAGGTTCCTGACAATGAGGACAAGGTTCCAAACTCTCACGACAAGGTTCCTCACTCTGAGGGCAGGTTACTCACACCGAGGACGAGTTTCCTCACTCTGAGAAGTAGGTTCCTCACTCTGAGGCAATTTTCATCACTCTCAGGACAAGGTTCCTTACACTGCGGACAAGGTTCTTCACTCTGAGAACGTGGTTCCTCACTCTGAGGACAAGGTTCCACATTTTGAGGACAAGGTTCCTCACTCTGAGGACAAGGTTCCTCACTCTGAGGACAAGGTTCCTCACTTTGAGGACAAGGTTCCTCACTCTCAGGACAAGGTTCCTCACTCTGAGAACAAGGTGCCACACTATGAGGACCGGGATCCTCAATCTGAAGTCAGGTTTCTCACACTGAGGACAAGGTTCCTCACTCTGAGGACAAGGTTCCTCACTCTGAGACCAAGGTTCCTCTCTCTGAGGACAAGGTTCCTCACACTGAGTAAACGGTTCCTCACTGTGAGAACAAGGTTCCTCACTCTGAGGACAAGGTTCCTCACTCTGAGGACAAGGTTCCTCACTCTGAGGACAAGGTGCCACACTCTGAGGACAAGGCTCCTCATTCTGAAGTCAGGTTCCTCACACGGAGGACAAGGTTCCTCATTCTGAAGTCAGGTTCCTCACACTGAGGACAAGGTTCCTCACCCTGAGGACAAGGTTCCTCACCCTGAAGGCAGGTTTCTCACTCTCAGGACAAGGCTTCTCACTCTGAGTACAAGGTGCCACACTCTGAGGACAAGGTTGCTCACTCCGAAGGCAGGTTCCTCACTCTGAGGACAAGGTTCCTCACTCTGAGGACAAGGTTCCTCATTCTGAGGACAAGGTTCCTCACACTGAGGAGAAGGTTCCTCACTCTGAGGACAAGGTTCCTCACTCTGAGGACAAGGTTCCTCACTCTGAATACGAGGTGCCACACTCTGAGGACAAGGTTCCTCATTCTGAAGTCAGGTTCCTCATTCTGAAGTCAGGTTCTTCACACTGAGGACAAGGTTGCTACTGTGAGGAAAATGTTCCTCACTCTGAAGGCAGGTTCCACACTCTGAGGACAAGGTTCCTCCCTGTCAGGACAAGGTTCCTCATTCTGATGGCAGGTTCCTCACTCTGAGGACAAGGTTGCACACTCTGAGGACAAGGTTCTTTACACTGAGGACAAGGTTCCTCGCTGTGAAAACAAGCTTTGTCACTTTGAGGACAAAGGCTTCTCACACTGAGGACAAGGTCCCTCACACTGCGGACAAAGTTCCTCACTCTGAGAACAAAGTTCCTCACTCTGAGGCAAATTTCATCACTCTGTGGACAAGGTTCTTTACACTGCGGACAAGGTTCCTCACTCAGAGAACGTGGTTCCTCACTCTGAGGACAAGGTTCCACATTTTGAGGAGAAGCTTCCTCACTCTGACGACAAGGTTCCTCACTCTGAGGACAAGGTTCTTCATTCTGAAGTCAGGTTCCTCACACTGAGGACAAGGTTCTTCACTCTGAGGACAAGGTTCCTCCCCCTCAGGACAAGGTTGCTCATTCCGAAGGCAGGTTCCTCACTCTGAGGACAAGGTTCCTCACTCTGGCTACAAGGTTCCTCACACTGTGGACAAGGTTCCTCACTCTGAGGACAAAGGTTCCTCACACTGAGGACAAAGTTGCTCTCTCAGAACAAGGTTCTTCACTCTGAGGACAGGTTTCATCACTCTGAGGACAAGGTTCCTCACATTGAGGACAAGGTTCCACACGCTGAGACGAATGTTCCTCTCTCTGAGGACAAGGTTCCTCACTCTGAGGACAAGGTTCCTCACTCTGAGGACAAGGTTCCTCATTCTGAGGACAAGGTTCCTCACTCTGAGGACAAGGTTCTTCACTCTGAAGGCAGGTTCCTCACTGTAAAAACAATGTTCCTCGCTCTGAGGGTAAGGTTCCTCACTCTGAGCACAATTTTCCTCACTCTGACGACAAGCTTCCTCACTCTGAGGACAAGGTACCTCACTCTGAAGGCAAATTCCTCACACTGAGAACGAGGTTCCTCACTCTGAGGAGAGGGTTCCTCACTCTGAAGAGCAGGTTCCTCACTCTGAAGACAAAGTTCCTCAGTCTGAGGACAAGGTTCCTCACTCTGAGGAGAAGGTTCCTCACTCTGAGGACAAGGTTCCACACTCTGCGGAATGTGTTCTTCACTCTGAGGACAAGATTTCTCACTCTGAGGACAAGGTTCCTCACTCTGGGACAAGGTTCCTCACTCTGAGGACAAGGTTCCTCACTATGAGGACAAGGTTCCTCACTCTGAGGACAAGGTTCCTCACTCTGAGGACAAGGTTCCTGACACTGAGGAGAAGGTTCCTCTCTCTGAGGACAAGGTTCCTCACTCGGAGGACAAGGTTCCTCACTCTGAAGGCAGGTTCCTCGCTCTGAGGACAAGGTTCCTGACACTGAGGACAAGGTTCCTCACTCTCACGAATAGGTTCCTCACTCTGAGGGCAGGTTAATCACACTGAGGTCGAGTTTCCTCACTCTGAGGACAAGGTTTCGGACACTGAGGACTAGGTTCCTCACATTGAGGATAAGGTTCCACACTCTGAGACCAAGGCTCCTCTCTCTGAGGACAAGGTTCCTCACACTGTGTAAACGGTTCCTCACTGTGAGAAAAAGTTTCCTCACTCTGAGGACAAGGTTCCTCACTCTGAGGACCAGGTTCCTCACTCTGAGGACAAGGTTCCTCACTCTGAGGACAAGGTTCCTCACTCTCAGGACAAGGTTCCTCACTCTGAAGGCAGGTTACTCACACTGAGGACGAGTTTCCTCACTCTGAGGACAAGCTTTCTCACACTGAGGACAAGGTTCCTCACATTGAGCACAAGGTTCCTCAATCCGAGGACAAGATTCCTCACTCTGAGGACAAGGTTCCTCACTCTGAGGACCAGGTTCCCCACTCTGAGGACAAGGTTCCTCACTCTGGGGGCAAGGTTCCTCACTCTGAGGACAAGTTTCGTCCCCCTGATGACGAGGTTTCTCAGTCTGAGGACCAGGTTCGTCACTCCCAGGACAAGGTTGCTCATTCTCAGGACAAGGTTCCTCACTCTGAGGGCCAGGTTACTCACCCTGAGGACAAGGTTCCTCACTCTAAGGACAAGGTGCTACACACTGAGGACAAGGTTCCTCATTCTGAAGTCAGGTTCCGCACACTGAGGGCAAGGTACCTCACTCTGAGGATAAGGTTCCTCACTCTGAGGACAAGGTTCCACCCTCTCAGGACGAGGTTGCTCTCTCCGAAGGCAGGTTCCTCACTCTGAGGACAAGGTTCCTCACTCTGACTACAAGGTTCCTCACACTGTGGACAAGGTTCCTCACTCTGAGGACAAAGGTTCCTCACTCTGAGGACAAGGTTCCCCACTCTGAGGACAAGGTTCCTCACCCTTAGGGCAAAGTTCGTCACTCTGAGGACAAGTTTCGTCCTCCTGATGACGAGGTTTCTCACTCTGAGGACCGGGTTCGTCACTCCAAGGACAAGGTTGCTCATTCTCAGGACAAGGTTCCTCACTCTGAGGGCAAGGTTACTCACTCTGAGAACAAGGTTACTCACTGTGAGTACAAGGTTCCTCATTCTGAGGACAAAGTTCCTCTCACTGAGGACGAGGTTCCTCCTCTGAAGGCAGGTTCCTCACTGTGAAAGCAATGTTCCTCACTCTGAGGGGAAGGTTCCTCACTCTGAGCACAATTTTCCTCACTCTGAGGACAAGGTTCCTCACTCGGAGGAAAAGGTACCTCACTCTGAAGGCAAATTCCTCACACTGAGGACGAGGTTCCTCAATCTGAGGACTAGGTTCCTCACTCTGACGAGATGGTTCCTCACTCTGAGGACAAAGTTCCTCACTCTGAGGACAAGGTTCCTCATTCTGAGGACAAGGTTCCTCACTCTGAGGACAAGGTACCACACTCTGCGGAATGAGTTCCTTACTCTGAGGACAAGGTTTCTTACTGTGAGGACAAGGTTCCTCACTCTGAGGGCAAGGTTCCTCACTCTGAGAACAAAGTTCCTCACTTTGAGGACAAAGGCTCCTCACACTGAGGACAAGGTTCCTCACACTGAGGACAAAGTTTCCTCACACTGAGGACAAGGTTCCTCACTATGAGGACAAGGTTCCTCACACTGAGGACAAGGTTCCTCACTCTGAGGACAAGGTTCCTCACTCGGAGGACAACGTTCCTTACACTGAAGGCAGGTTCCTCGCTCTGAGGACAAGGTTCCTCACTCTGAAGGCAGGTTCCTCACTCTGAGGACAAGGTTCCTGACTATGACTACAAGGTTCCTCACACGGAGGACAAGGTTCCTCACTCTGAGAACAGGGTTCCTCACTTTGAGGACAAAGGCTCCTCACACTGAGGACAAGGTTCCTCACACTGAGGACAAAGTTTCCTCACTCTGAGGACAAGGTTCCTCATCCTGAGGACAAGATTGCTCACACTGAAGACAAGGTTCCTCACCCTGAGGACAAGGTTCCTGACCCTGAAGGCAGGTTCCTCACTCTAAAAACAATGTTCCTCATTCTGAGAGCAAGGTTCCTCACTCTGAGCACAATTTTCCTCACTCTGAGGACAAGGTTCCACACTCTGAGGACAAGGTTCCTCACTCAGAAGTCAGGTTCCTCACACTGAGGACAAGGTTCCTCACTCTGAGTAGAAGGTTCCTCACTCTGAAGGCAGGTTCCTCACTGTAAAAACAATGTTTCTCCCACTGAGGACAGGGTTCCTCACTCTGAGGAGAAGGTTCCTCACTCTGATGGCAGGTACCACACTCTGAGGACAAGGTTCCCTACAGTAAGGACAAGGTTCCTCAGTCTGAAGGCAGGTTACTCACACTGAGGATGAGTTTCCTCACTGTGAGGACAAGGTTTCTCACACTGAGGACAAAGTTCCTCACATTGAGGACAAGTTTCCACACTCCGAGACCAAGGTTCCTCTCTCTGAGAACAAGGTTCCTCACACTGAGTAAACGGTTCCACACTGAGAGAAAAAGTTTCCTCAATCTGAGGACAAGGTTCCTCACTCTGAGGACACGGTTCCTCACTCTGAGGGCAAGGGTCCTCACTCTGAGGACAAGGTTCCTCACTCTGAGGCAAGTTTCATCACTCTGAGGAAAAGGTTCCTTACACTGAGGACAAGGTTCCTCACTCTGAGAACAAGGTTCTTCACTCTGAGGCAAGATTCATCACTCTGAGGACAAGGTTCCTTACACTGAGGACAAGGTTCCTCACTTTTAGAAGAAGGCTCCTCACTCTGAGGACAAGGTTCCTCATTCTGAGGACAAGGTTCCTCAGTCTGAGGACAAGGTTCCACTCTCTCAGGACAAGGTGCTCACTCTGAGGCCAAGGTTCCTCACTCTGAGGACAAGGTTCCGTACTCGCAGGACAAGTTTCCTCACTCTGAGTACAAGGTGCCACACTCTGAGGACAAGGTTGCTCATTCTGAAGGCAGGTTCCTCGCAGTGAGGACAATGTTCTTCACTCTGAGGACAAGGTTCCTCACTCTGAAGGCAGGTTCCATACTCTGAGGACAAGGTTCCTCCCTGTCAGGACAAGGTTGCTCACTCTGAAGGCATGTTCCTCACTCTGAGGACAAGGTTCCTCACTCTGACTACAAGGTTCCTCACACTGAGGACAAGGTTCCTCACTCTGAGGACAAAGGTTCCTCACACTGAGGACAAAGTTGCTCTCCCTGAGAACAAGGTTTCTCACTCGGAGGACAAGGTTCATCACTCTGAAGACAAGGTTCCTCACGCTGACGACAAGGTTCCTCACTCTGAGAACAAGGTTACTCGCTCTGAGGACAAGGTTCCTCATTCTGAGGAGAAGGTTCCTCATTCAGGGGACAAGGTTCCTCACTCTGAGGCAAGTTTCATCACTCTGAGGACAAGGTTCCTTACACTGAGGACAAGGTTCCTCACTCTCAGAACAAGGTTCCTCACTCTGAGGACAAGGTTACTCATTCTGAGGGCAAGGTTCCTCAGTCTGAGGACAAGGTTCCACACTCTGAGGACAAGGTCCTCACTCTGAAGTCAGGTTCCTCACACTGAGGACAAGGTTCCTCACTCTGAGGACAAAGGTTCCTCACCCTGAGGACAAAGTTGCTCTCCCTGAAAACAAGGTTTCTCACTCGGAGGACAAGGTTCATCACTCTGAAGACAAGGTTCCTCACGCTGACGACAAGGTTCCTCACTCTGAGAACAAGGTTACTCGCTCTGAGGACAAGGTTCCTCATTCTGAGGAGAAGGTTCCTCATTCAGGGGACAAGGTTCCTCACTCTGAGGCAAGTTTCATCACTCTGAGGACAAGGTTCCTTACACTGAGGACAAGGTTCCTCACTCTCAGAACAAGGTTCCTCACTCTGAGGACAAGGTTACTCATTCTGAGGGCAAGGTTCCTCAGTCTGAGGACAAGGTTCCACACTCTGAGGACAAGGTCCTCACTCTGAAGTCAGGTTCCTCACACTGAGGACAAGGTTCCTCACTCTGAGGACAAAGGTTCCTCACCCTGAGGACAAAGTTGCTCTCCCTGAAAACAAGGTTTCTCACTCGGAGGACAAGGTTCATCACTCTGAAGACAAGGTTCCTCACGCTGACGACAAGGTTCCTCACTCTGAGAACAAGGTTACTCGCTCTGAGGACAAGGTTCCTCATTCTGAGGAGAAGGTTCCTCATTCAGGGGACAAGGTTCCTCACTCTGAGGCAAGTTTCATCACTCTGAGGACAAGGTTCCTTACACTGAGGACAAGGTTCCTCACTCTCAGAACAAGGTTCCTCACTCTGAGGACAAGGTTACTCATTCTGAAGACAAGGTTCCACACTCTGAGGACAAGGTCCTCACTCTGAAGTCAGGTACCTCACATTGAGGACAAGGTTGCTCACTCTGAAGTCAGGTTCCTCACACTGAGGACAAGGTTCCTCACTCTGAGTACAAGTTTCCTCACTCTGAAGTCGTGTTCCTTACTGTAAAAACAATGTTCCTCACTCGAAGGGCAAGGTTCCTCACTCTGAGCACAATTTGCCTCTCTCTGAGGACAAGGTTCCCCACTCTGAGGACAAGGTTCCTCACTCTGAAGTCAGGTTCCTCACACTGAGGACAAGGTTCCTCACTCTGAGTACAAGGTTCCTCACTCAGAAGGCAGGTTCCTCACTGTAAAAGCAATGTTCCTTACTCTGACTACAAGGTTCCTCACACTGAGGACAAGGTTCCTCACTCTGAGGACAAAGGTTCCTCACACTGAGGACAAAGTTGCTCTCTCTGAGAACAAGGTTTCTCACTCTGAGGACAGGGTTCGTCACTCTGAAGACAAGGTTCCTCACACTGACAACAATGTTCCTCACTCTGAGAACAAGGTTCCTCACTCTGAGGCAAGATTCATCACTCTGAGGACAAGGTTCCTTACACTGTGGACAAGGTTCCTCACTTTTAGAACAAGGCTCCTCACTCTGAGGACAAGGTTCCTCACTCTGAGGGCAAGGTTGCCCATTCTGACGACAATGTTCCTGACTCTGAGGACAAGGTTCCTCACTCTGAGGGCAAGTTTCGTCCCTCTGATGACGAGGTTTCTCTCTCTGAGGACAAGGTTCCTCACACTGAGAACAAGGTTTCGCACTCTGAGAACAAGGTTACTCATTGTGAGGACAAGGTTCCTCATTCTGAGGAAAGGTTCCTCACACTGAGGACAAGGTTCCTCACTCTGAGGACAAGGTTCCTCACTCCGAAGTCAGGTTCCTGACACTGAGGACAAGGTTCCTCACTCTGAGTACAAGGTTCCTCACTCAGAAGGCAGGTTCCTCACTGTAAAAGCAATGTTTCTCACTCTGACTACAAGGTTCCTCACACTGACGACAAGGTTTCTCACTCTGAGAACAAGGTTACTCGCTCTGAGGACAAGGTTCCTCATTCTGAGGAGAAGGTTCCTCATTCTGGGGACAAGGTTCCTCGCTCCGAAGGCAAGTTTCATCACTCTGAGGACAAGGTTCCTTACACTGAGGACAAGGTTCCTCACTCTCAGAACAAGGTTCCTCACTCTGAGGACAAGGTTACTCATTCTGAGGGCAAGGTTCCTCAGTCTGAGGACAAGGTTCCACACTCTGAGGACAAAGTCCTCACTCTGAAGTCAGGTACCTCACATTGAGGACAAAGTTGCTCACTCTGAAGTCAGGTTCCTCACACTGAGGACAAGGTTCCTCACTCTGAGTACAAGTTTCCACACTCTGAAGTCGGGTTCCTCACTGTAAAAACAATGTTCCTCACTCTGAGGGCAAGGTTCCTCACTCTGAGCACAATTTTCCTCACTCTGAGGACAAGGTTCCCCACTCTGAGGACAAGGTTCCTCACTCTGAAGTCAGGTTCCTCACACTGAGGACAAGGTTCCTCACTCTGAGTACATGGTTCCTCAGTCAGAAGGCAGGTTCCTCACTGTAAAAGCAATGTTCCTCACTCTGACTACAAGGTTCCTCACACTGAGGACAAGGTTCCTCACTCTGAGGACAAAGGTTCCTCACACTGAGGATAAAGTTGCTGTCTCTGAGAACAAGGTTTCTCACTCTGAGGACAGGGTTCGTCACTCTGAAGACAAGGTTCCTCACACTGACAACAATGTTCCTCACTCTGAGAACAAGGTTCCTCAGTCTGAGGCAAGATTCATCACTCTGAGGACAAGGTTCCTTACACTGTGGACAAGGTTCCTCACTTTTAGAACAAGGCTCCTCACTCTGAGGACAAGGTTCCTCACTCTGAGGGCAACGTTGCCCATTCTGACGACAATGTTCCTGACTCTGAGGACAAGGTTTCTCACTCTGAGGGCAAGTTTCGTCCTTCTGATGACGAGGTTTCTCTCTCTGAGGACAAGGTTCCTCACACTGAGAACAAGGTTTCGCACTCTGAGAACAAGGTTACTCATTGTGAGGACAAGGTTCCTCATTCTGGGGAAAGGTTCCTCACACTGAGGACAAGGTTCCTCACTCTGAGGACAAGGTTCCTCACTCTGAAGTCAGGTTCCTGACACTGAGGACAAGGTTCCTCACTCTGAGTACAAGGTTCCTCACTCAGAAGGCAGGTTCCTCACTGTAAAAGAAATGTTCCTCACTCTGACTACAAGGTTCCTCACACTGAGGACAAGGTTCCTCACTCTGAGGAGAAAGGTTCCTCACACTGAGGACAAAGTTGCTTTCTCTGAGAACAAGGTTCCTTACTCTCAGGACAAGGTTCCTCGCTCTGAAGGCAGGTTCCTCACTGTAAAAACAATGTTCGTCACTCTGAGGACAAGGTTCCTCACACTGAGAACAAGGTTCCTCACTCTGAGAACAAGGTTACTCACTCTGAGGACAAGGTTCCTCATTCTGAGAACAAGGTTCCTCAGTCTGAGGACAATGTTCCCCACACTGAGTACAAAGTTCCTCGCTCTGAGGACAAGGTTTCTCACCCTGAGAACAACGTTCCTTACCCTGAGGACAAGGTTTTCCACTCTGAGGACAAGGTTCTTCAGTCTGAAGACAAGGTTCCCCACTCTGAGGACAAGGTTTCTCACCCTCAGGACAAGGTTCCTTACCCTGAGGACAATGTTCCTCACTCTGAGGACAAGGTTTCTCAGTTTGAGGATAAGGTTTCTCACTCTGAGGACAAGGTTCCTCACTCTGAGGATAAGGTTCCTCATTCTGAGGGCAAGGTTCCTCACTCTTAAGGCAGGTTCCTTAAACTGAGGACAAGGCCCCTCACTCTCAGTACAAGGTTCCTCACTCTGAGGACAAGGTTCCCCACTCTGAGGACAAGGTTCCTCACTCTTTGGACAAGGTTTCTCACTCTGAGGACAAGGTTTCTCACCCTGAGGACAAGGTTCCCTACCCTGAGGACAAGGTTCCTCACTCTGAGGACAAGGTTCTTCACTCTGAGGACAAGGTTACTCACTTTGAAGACTAGGTTTCTCACTCTGAGGACAAGGTTCCTCACTCTGAAGGCAAGGTTCCTCACTCTTAAGGCCGGTTCCTCACACTGAGGACAAGGCCCCTCACTCTGAGTACAAGGTTCCTCACTCTGAGGACAAGGTTCCCCACTCTGAGGACAAGGTTCCTCACTCTGGGGACAAGGTTCCTCACTCTGAGGACAAGGTTTCTCGCCCTGAGGACAAGGTTCCTTACCCTGAGGACAAGGTTCCTCACTCTGAGGACAAGGTTCTTCACTCTGAGGACAAGGTTCCTCACACTGAGGACAAGCTTCCTCACTCTGAGGACAATGTTCCTCATTCTGAGCACAAGGTTCCTCACTCTGAGGACAAGGTTCCTCACTCTGATGACAAGGTTCCTCACTCTGAGGAAAAGGTTCCTCACTCTGAGGACAAGAATCCTCACTCTGAGGACAAGGTTCCTCACTCGGATGACAAGGCTCCTTACTCTGAGGTCAAGGCTCGTAGCTCCGAGGGCAAGGTTCCTCACTCTCAGGAGAAGCTTTCTCACTCTGAGGGCAAGGTTCCTCACTCTCAGGAGAAGCTTTCTCAATCTGAGGACAAGGTTCCTCATTGTAAGGACATGGTTCCTCACGCTGAGGACAAGGTTCCTTACTCTGAGGAAAAGGTGCCACACACTGAGGACAAGGTTCTTCATTCTGAACTCAGGTTCTTCACACTGAAGACAAGGTTCCTCACCCTGAAGGCAGGTTTCTCACTCTGAGGACAATGGTTCCTCACTCTGACAAAAAAGTTCCTCACACTGTGGACAAGGTTCCTCACTCTGAGAACAAGGTTCCTCACTCTGAGGACAAGGCTACTCACACTGAGGCCAAGGTTCTTCACACTGAGGACAAAGTTCCTCACTCTCAGAACAAGGTTCCTCACTCTGAGGACAAGGTTTATCACATTGAGAACAGGTTTCCTCACTCTGAGGACAAGGTTCCTCACTCTGAGGACAAGGTTCCTCACTCTGAGGACAAGGTTCCTCACTCTGAGGACAAGGTTCGTCACTTTGAGGACAAGGTTGCTCACTCTGAGGACAAGGTTCCTCACTCTGAGGGCAGGTTTCTCACTCTGAGGACAAGGTTCCTCACACGCAAGACAAGATTCTCACTGTGATGACAAGGTTCCTCACTCGGAGGCCAAGGTTCCTCACTCTGAGGAGAAGGCTCCTCACTCTGAGGGCAAGGTTCCTCACTCTGAGGACAAGGTTCCTCACTCTGATGACAAGGTTCCTCACTCTGAGGACAAGGTTTCTCACTCTGAGGAGAAGGTTCCTCATTCTGAAGGCGAGTTCCTCACTCCGAGGACAAACCTTGTTTTCAGAGTGAGGAATCTTGTCATCAGAATAACGAACCTTGTCCTAAGAGTGGGGAACCTTGTCCTAAGAGTGAGGTACCATGTCCTCAGAGTGAGGTACCTTGTCCTCAGAGTGACGAAACTGGTTCCCAGAGTGAGGAACCTTTTCGTCAGTGTGAGGAACCTTGTCTTCATGGTGAGGAACCTTCTCCTCAGGGTGAGGAACCTTGTCCTCAGAGAGAGGAACCTTGTCATCAGAGTGATGAACCTTGTCTTCAGGGTGACCAAACTTGTTCTCAGAGTGAGGAACCTTTTCGTCGGTGTGAGGAACTGGAACATGGCCCTCAGAGTGAGGAACATTGTCCTCAGAGTGAGGAACATTGTTCTCAGAGTGAGAGACCTTGTCCTCAGAGTGAGGAAGCTTGTCATCAGAGTGAGGAACCTTGTTCTCAGAGTGAGGAGCTTTGTCCTCAGAGTGAGGAACCTTGTCCTCAGAGTGAGGAACCTTGTCTTCAGAGTGTCGAAACTTGTTCTCAGAGTGAGGAACCTTTTCCTCAGTGTGAGGAACCTTGTCGTCAGAGTGAGGAACCTTGTCCTCAGAGTGAGAAACCTTGGCTTCAGATTGAGGAACCTTGTCATCAGAGTGAGGAACCTTCTCATCAGAGTGAGGTACCTTGTCCTCAGAGTGAAACACCTTGGCCTCAGATGAGGAACCTTGTCCAAACAGTGAGGAAACTTGTTCTCAGAGTGAGGAAACTTTTCGTCAGTGTGAGGAACCTTGTCCTCGGAGTGACGAACCTTTCCTCAGAGTGAGGAACCTTGTTCTCAGAGTGAGGAACCTTGTCCTCAGTGTGAGGAACCTTGTCCGCAGAGTAAGGAACCTGGTCCTCAGAGTGAGGAAACTCGTTCTCAGTGCGAGGAACATGCCTTTAGAGTGAGGAACCTTGTCCTGAGGTGAGGAACCTTGTCCTCAGTGTGAGGAACTTTGTCCTCAGAGTGAGGAACCTTGCACTCAGAGTGAGGTACCTTGTGCACAGTGCTACGAACCTGCCTTCAGAGTGAAGAACCTTGTCTTCAGGGTGAGGAACCTTGTCCTCAAAGTGAGGAACCTTGTCCTCAGAGTGAGGAAGCTTGTCCTCAAAATGAGGAACCTTGTCCTCAGAGTGAGAAACCTTGTCTTCAGATTGAGGAACCTTGTCATCAGAGTGCGGAACCTTCTCATCAGAGTGAGGTACCTTGTCCTCAGAGTGAAACACCTTGGCCTCAGATGAGGAACCTTGTCCTAACAGTGAGGAAACTTGTTCTCAGAGTGAGGAAACTTTTCGTCAGTGTGAGGAACCTTGTCCTCGGAGTGACGAACCTTTCCTCAGAGTGAGGAACGTTGTTCTCAGAGTGAGGAACCTTGTCCTCAGTGTGAGGAACCTTGTCCGCAGAGTAAGGAACCTGGTCCTCAGAGTGAGGAAACTGGTTCTCAGTGCGAGGAACATGCCTTTAGAGCGAGGAACCTTGTCCTGAGGTGAGGAACCTTGTCCTCAGTGTGAGGAACTTTGTCCTCAGAGTGAGGAACCTTGCATTCAGAGTGAGGTACCTTGTGCACAGTGCTACGAACCTGCCTTCAGAGTGAAGAACCTTGTCCTCAGGGTGAGGAACCTTGTCCTCAAAGTGAGGAACCTTGTCCTCAGAGTGAGGAAAGTTGTCCTCAAAATGAGGAACCTTGTCCTTAGAGTGAGGTACCTTGTCCTCAGAGTGAGGTACCTTGTCCTCAGAGTGACGAAACTGGTTCCCAGAGTGAGGAACCTTTTCGTCAGTGTGAGGAACCTTGTCCTCATGGTGAGAAACCTTCTCCTCAGGGTGAGGAACCTTGTCCTCAGGGTGAGGAACCTTGTCATCAGAGTGATGAACCTTGTCTTCAGGGTGACCAAACTTGTTCTCAGAGTGAGAAACCTTGTCGTCGGTGTGAGGAACATTGTTCTCAGAGTGAGAGACCTTGTCCTCAGAGTGAGGAAGCTTGTCATCAGAGTGAGGAACCTTGTTCTCAGAGTGAGGAGCTTTGTCCTCAGAGTGAGGAACCTTGTCCTCAGAGTGAGGAACCTTGTCTTCAGAGTGTCGAAACTTGTTCTCAGAGTGAGGAACCTTTTCCTCAGTGTGAGGAACCTTGTCGTCAGAGTGAGGAACCTTGTCCTCAGAGTGAGAAACCTTGGCTTCAGATTGAGGAACCTTGTCATCAGAGTGAGGAACCTTCTCATCAGAGTGAGGTACCTTGTCCTCAGAGTGAAACACCTTGGCCTCAGATGAGGAACCTTGTCCAAACAGTGAGGAAACTTGTTCTCAGAGTGAGGAAACTTTTCGTCAGTGTGAGGAACCTTGTCCTCGGAGTGACGAACCTTTCCTCAGAGTGAGGAACCTTGTTCTCAGAGTGAGGAACCTTGTCCTCAGTGTGAGGAACCTTGTCCGCAGAGTAAGGAACCTGGTCCTCAGAGTGAGGAAACTCGTTCTCAGTGCGAGGAACATGCCTTTAGAGTGAGGAACCTTGTCCTGAGGTGAGGAACCTTGTCCTCAGTGTGAGGAACTTTGTCCTCAGAGTGAGGAACCTTGCACTCAGAGTGAGGTACCTTGTGCACAGTGCTACGAACCTGCCTTCAGGGTGAGGAACCTTGTACTCCGAGTGAGGAACCTTGTCTTCAGAGTGAAGAAACTTGTTCTCAGAGTGAGGAAAGTTTTCGTCGGTGTGAGGAACCAGGCCCTCAGAGTGAGGAACCTTGTGCTCAGAGTGTGGAACATTGTTCTCAGAGTGAGGAACCTTGTCCTCATTGTGAGGAACTTTTTCCACAGAGTTAAGAAACTTGTTCTCAGAGGTAGGTACCTTTTCGTCAGCGTGAGGAACCTTGTCCTCAGAGTGAGGAACCTTTTCGTCGGTGTGAGGAACTGGAACATGGCCCTCAGAGTGAGGAACCTTGTCCTCAGTGTGAGGAACTTTGTCCTCAGAGTGAGGAACCTTGCACTCAGAGTGAGGTACCTTGTGCACAGTGCTACGAACCTGCCTTCAGAGTGAAGAACCTTGTCCTCAGGGTGAGGAACCTTGTCCTCAAAGTGAGGAACCTTGTCCTCAGAGTGAGGAAGGTTGTCCTCAAAATGAGGAACCTTGTCCTCAGAGTGAGGTACCTTGTCCTCAGAGTGAGGTACCTTGTCCTCAGAGTGACGAAACTGGTTCCCAGAGTGAGGAACCTTTTCGTCAGTGTGAGGAACCTTGTCCTCATGGTGAGAAACCTTCTCCTCAGGGTGAGGAACCTTGTCCTCAGGGTGAGGAACCTTGTCATCAGAGTGATGAACCTTGTCTTCAGGGTGACCAAACTTGTTCTCAGAGTGAGAAACCTTGTCGTCGGTGTGAGGAACATTGTTCTCAGAGTGAGAGACCTTGTCCTCAGAGTGAGGAAGCTTGTCATCAGAGTGAGGAACCTTGTTCTCAGAGTGAGGAGCTTTGTCCTCAGAGTGAGGAACCTTGTCCTCAGAGTGAGAAACCTTGTCCTCAGAGTGTCGAAACTTGTTCTCAGAGTGAGGAACCTTTTCCTCAGTGTGAGGAACCTTGTCCTCGGAGTGAGGAACCTTGTCCTCTGAGTGAGAAACCTTGTCTTCAGAGTGAGGAACCTTGTCATCAGAGTGAGGAACCTTCTCATCAGAGTGAGGTACCTTGTCCTCAGAGTGAAACACCTTGGCCTCAGATGAGGAACCTTGTCCTAACAGTGAGGAAACTTGTTCTCAGAGTGAGGAAACTTTTCGTCAGTGTGAGGAACCTTGTCCTCGGAGTGACGAACCTTTCCTCAGAGTGAGGAACCTTGTTCTCAGAGTGAGGAACCTTGTCCTCAGTGTGAGGAACCTTGTCCTCAGAGTAAGGAACCTGGTCCTCAGAGTGAGGAAACTCGTTCTCAGTGCGAGGAACATGCCTTTAGAGTGAGGAACCTTGTCCTGAGGTGAGGAACCTTGTCCTCAGTGTGAGGAACTTTGTCCTCAGAGTGAGGAACCTTGCACTCAGAGTGAGGTACCTTGTGCACAGTGCTACGAACCTGCCTTCAGGGTGAGGAACCTTGTACTCCGAGTGAGGAACCTTGTCTTCAGAGTGAAGAAACTTGTTCTCAGAGTGAGGAAAGTTTTCGTCGGTGTGAGGAACCAGGCCCTCAGAGTGAGGAACCTTGTGCTCAGAGTGTGGAACATTGTTCTCAGAGTGAGGAACCTTGTCCTCATTGTGAGGAACTTTTTCCACAGTGTTAAGAAACTTGTTCTCAGAGGTAGGTACCTTTTCGTCAGCGTGAGGAACCTTGTCCTCAGAGTGAGGAACCTTTTCGTCGGTGTGAGGAACTGGAACATGGCCCTCAGAGTGAGGAACCTTGTCCTCAGAGTGAGGAACATTGTTCTCAGAGTGAGAGACCTTGTCCTCAGAGTGACCAAACTTGTTCTCAGAGTGAGGAACCTTGTCATCAGAGAGAGGAACCTTGTACTCAGAGTGAGGAACCTTGTCCGCAGAGTGAGGAACCTTGTTCTCGGAGTGAGGAACTTTGTCTTCAGTGTGAGGAACCTTTTCCTCAGTATCAGGAACCTGCTTTCAGATTGAGGAACCTTGTCGTCAGAGTGAGGAACCTTGTCTGCAGAGTGAGGAACCTTGTCCTTCGAGTGAGGAAACTTGTCCTCAGAGTGGGGAACCTTCTCCTCAGCGTGAGGAACCTTGTCCTCAGAATGAGGACCCTTGTCATCAGAGTGAGGAGCCTTGTCCTCAGAGTGGGGAACCTTGTCCTCCGTGTGAAGCACCTTGTTCTCAGAGTGAGGAACTTTGTCCTCAGAGTGAGGAACCTTGTCCTCAGAGTGAGGAACCTTGTCCTCAGAGTGAGGAACCTTGTCCTTAGAGTGGGGAACCTTGTCCTCCGAGTGAAGCACCTTGTTCTCAGAGTGAGGAACTTTGTCCTCAGAGTGAGGAACCTTGTCCTCAGAGTGAGGAACCTTGTCCTCAGAGTGAGGAACCTTGTCCTCAGTGTGAGGAACCTTGTCCGCAGAGTTAGGAAACTTGTTCTCAGAGATAGGAACCATTTCCTCAGCGTGAGGAATCTTGTCCTCAGAGTGAGGAACCTTGTACTCAGAGTGAGGAACCTTGTCCTCAGTTTGAGGAACCTTGTCCACAGAGTGAGGAAACTTGTTCTCAGAGGGAGAGACCTTTTCCTCAGTGTGAGGAACCTCGTCCTGAGAGTGTTGAAACTTGCCCTCAGAGCGAGAAACCTTGTCCTCAGAGTGACGAACCTTGTCATCAGAGAGAGGAACCTTGTCCTCAGAGCAGGGCGGAGGGAGAGAGGGCGTAGAAACGGCCAGACATCGAGCGGACCCATCCGTGATGCGGGTTTTGCCGGGGATAAAGACGTTCTAATTGTAAACAAATATGGGTAGCGTATATGACCCATCAGAAGGTATGCTGAAACTATTGCTTTATAAAATATTACTTGTGTAAAAGTTATATGTTTTTGTTACTTTTAGCTATTATAAGAAACTTAAAGATAAGATTTAAGTAACCAAAAACTTTATTTCGAGTGTTATTTTATTTCTATACTTTGTTTAATTTGGTGTTTAAAAATTGGCGTCGAAATGTTGTAATAGAGTGTTAGCGCGCACTGCTTCCTGATAAAAACTCAATGATTTCCAAAACCTAAATTATAATTTGTTATTAAGTTATGATGAAAACCTTTGCGTAGACAAAATTATAGAGTGATCAAATATGAGACAGATAGGTTTTGAACCTTTCAAAGTTCGAGATCGAATTGACAGTTGAAATAGTACCTAACTCCAAGCTGAAATGTGCAACTTTATCGTGTATATTTTTGTCAATTTTGTTTACTGGCCTTTGTTAAATTCACTTGCAATGGCTCGACATAAGTTACAACATACAAACTGAGCAGAGCCCATGAAAAAGCTATCCATACCCCTACAGTCATTCAGCTTCCTTGCTATTTAGAAGTGCATGGTTGCCCATTAGTCGAAGAAGAATTGCTATTGTATGCGCTTGTTTGCACTTCCTTTCCTAAAAAAAAGTCTACACTATTAAGGCTAAATAGCAGAAAAATATGACCCAATAATCCATGCAATTAAAAATATCTATCAAATTAACTTCAAAAATCATGACCAATCATGATTTGAGGAATTATATCTATTCAGGCAACCCATAATTTAGTGACAGGTCTTGGCAAGGTGAAAGCTGAAAGGAACCCTTAAGATGGGTGTACTACAAAACTATATTGACTGAAGTTTTGGAAACATTTAACTAAATTTTGAAGGATTGACTTGCAAACTGTGATTCAGTATCATGGAATTTTACACTTCTGGAGAAGTTGTGGCTCTGTTAGTGCCATTTCTTTCATTGTTTATATATCTTGCTTTTAAGCATTGCTCGCTTATAAAATCTTTCAATTCCTTAGGGCCTGTTTATATGATCCCGCCTAGATGGCACGGGACGTTTTCATCCCGCCAAGACAGGATACTCGCCTAGTGTTTATATTGACAAAATACATTGCCGGGATGAAACCATTCGGTGCTTGACGTCATATTTTTGTTGCAATAAAGGCATTTACGCATGCCCAAAAGGGAAAAATTCATTCCGCCTAACCGGGATGAAGTGTTTATATGGGAATTTTTCATCCCGGCTAGGCGGGATAAAGTGTTTTTATATGGGAATTTTTCATCTCGCTTAGGCAGGATCCTGGCATCTGTTGCCGAAATCCAGTCTAGGCGGGATCATATAAACACTCTTTAGCATTTGTATCACGAGCGGGATCTCGGTAAGCATCCCGTCCCGCCTGGCCAGGATCATATAAACAGGCCCCTAATCTCATCCCATGATACTGAATCACAGTTTGTAAGGCCCCTTTTACATGAGACCAGGATGAAACCAACCTGGAAAATTGAAATTGCATGTCAACATGTTTACATGAGACCAGTATGAAAATCACAAAATTTTCAATTTATTCCCCTTGCCAGGCAATTTTCTTTTTTAGATGACTTTTGTTAGCATGTGTTGTTCACTTGTTCCAATGTCAACATTCATTCCAGTCTGAATTCATACTGGTCTGACTCAGTCGGCTTGGTCCAGCAGGCGGAATGACTTGAGACCCCATGTAAACATCTATTAAATATAATCTAATGACCAAAACGAAATGGTCCCGGTTAATTGACTTCGTTCCAGTCTCATGTGAACTGGACCTAATAAAATCCTTCAAAAGTTGGCAAAATTTTTCCAAAACTTCAGTCAATATAGTTTTGTAGTACACCAATCCCAAGATCTGTCACTAAATTATGGGTTGATTGCCTGAATAGATATAATTCCCAAATCATGATTTTTGAAGTTAATTTGATAGATATTTTTAATTGCATGGATTATTGGGTCATATTTTTCAGCTATTTAGCCTTAATATTGTAGACTTTTTTCAGAAAAGGAAGTGCAAACAAGCGCATACAATAGCAATTCTTCTTCAACTAATGGGCAACAATTTCTAAATAGCAAGGAAGCTGAATGACTGTATGGGTATTGACTATGGATAGCTCTTTCATGGGCTCTGCTCAGTTTGTATGTTGTAACTTATGCATGAGTCAATTCCTGGAGTAACCACCCCCCCCCCGGGACACCCCCGGGCATTTGCCCGATAGACAGTTCACGGGGGTCGGGAATTTGCCTTTCATATATGTGCACGGGGGCCGGGTATTGGAGGACCCCGGGGATTTGACAAATGGTTGCCCAGAATCCCACCCACAAATTTTAAGGCAGCAAAACCTAGTTTCAGGCAAGCATGTGGGCGCGCTGATCGTGGTTTGCGCCCTCGTGGTCAAGGTGGCGTGAAATTTATTGTAAGAATAAGCGAAAATTATACCCTCTGCCATGCAAATTTAAATACAACTACTAAAGGTTTATGTTTTATAATATTCCATAGCAGTTTAATACTATAATGTTATTAAATGACTATGATTATATGCCTTTAAAAGTTTAATTAACGTTTACAGTCGATTTCACGAAACTTTGACCACAAAATTTCCGAACTTCGTTGCGAAGTTCACAAGATTGTTGCGAAGTTCAAAAGTTCATAATGAGATTCACAAACCAGTTCGTAAACTACGCATTTGATTGGCTTATTTTACTTCACGGATCAATCAGGGACTTTGTTTACAAATTGGCTTGTGAATTCCAATATGAGCTTCCGAACTTCACAACGAACTTGCGAACTTCGCAACGAAATTCGGAACATTTGTGGTCAAAGTTTCGTGAAATCGACTGTAAAATCGTCCCCGGGGTGGGGCATTTTCCACTCTCAGCTTGCCCTGGGGCCGTGCATTAGTCTTCAAGTTGTGTCCCGGCACCCGGGCATTTACACTGTCATAACCAATCTAATCAAATTCCTGGGTGTGTTCCCGGGGGGGGATGGTTACTCCTGGAATTGACTCATGCATTATGTCGAGCCATTGCAAGTGAATTTAACAAAGCCAGCGAACAAAATTGACAAAAATATACACGATTTAGTTGCACATTTCAGCTTGGAGTTTGGTACTATTTCAACTGTCAATTCGACCTCGAACTTTGAAAGGTTCAAAACCTATCTGTCTCATGTTTGCTCACTCTATAATTTTGTATACGCAAAGGTTTTCATCATAACTTAATAACAAATTATAATTTAGGTTTTGGAAATCATTGGGTTTTTATCAGGAAGCAGTGCGCGCTAACACTCTCTTACAACATCTCGACGGCCATTTTTAAACACCAAATTAAACAGAGTATAGAAATAAAATAACACTCCAAATAAAGTTTTTGGTTACTTAAATCTTATCTTTAAGTTTCTTATAATAGCTAAAAGTAACAAAAACATATAAATTTTACGCAAGTAATATTTTATAAAGCAATAGTTTCAGCATACCTTCTGATGGGTCATATACGCGTAGCCATATTTGTTTACAAGTAGAACGTCTTACCCCCCGCGAAGCCCGCATCACGGATGGGTCCGCTCCATTGATAGGCCGTTTCTACGCCCTCTCTCCCTTCGCCCTGATCGTGAGCATCGTGAGGCGCGCCTGGGCGCGATTGTTAATAATCCCCGCATATTCGCATGCATCTCTATGGTTTAGCCTGCGATGATGCATAATTATGCAGTATTTCTTATTGAATTGACATGTGCTAAAAGTGCATTTTCTATGAATAGCCACTATTTACGTTCCATCACTATTGCATGTGATACTACTGCCGGTCCATCACTATTGTTTATTGTAAGAAAATAAAACAGGCCGTGTTCCTCGTCAAACACAACCCGCGAATTTTAGGGCAACAGAACAAATTAAGGGCTGTGTTCAGGCTAGTCAGACCTACACGTAATTTTTGACCTAATATACGTATGCCTGTTGACGTTTTTCGAAATCAGTGTTCATTGCAAAATTTGAATGATAAAATACAATTCTTTCCCAAATATATTTGCACATCAGCTGGTTGCAGAATATTGTCGAATAAATTCAGGTCAGTATATGCATGTGATTACGTAATGAAAGACCGGTATGATTAATATTTATATGAAAGGTCGCGAGACCAAACCGAACATTTGTTTCACCAAATCGAAAATTTGCATTGTCTCAACTACTAAGCTATGGGGCGAGCCTGAGCGACCCCCAGCTGATTAATTTATCGGTTATTTATTAAAGGGAAATGGCAATATATTTTTTTATTTTCTCGTTTGAAAGAACATTTAAAACCATATATAAGACTCTTTTTTACCGTTTTTTTCATATCTTGCTTACTTCTACAAATATTTTAATCGAAAGAAATGAAATGTCTGCCATCTTGGATTTTGCAGATATCCATGTTACGTCATAACAGGGGTCACGCAATATTTTTATCTAGACAACCACCAGTCATCTTGCACTCAAAAATTTAACCTGAAGCTCAGGCCCTATCACAGAATAGGGCCTGACACAAAACCTATCTAAAGTGTGGGATTCCCGTCCACCTGGTGGACGGGAAATCTGATTGGTTGATCAGCATCATGAAGGATTTTGATTGGTTGCAAGTTTACATAAACAACAGTTTTAAAAATAGCTCGGTCACAAGGCGAGAATTAATATAAAGGTCAAACGCACGTAACAAATTCAATTATCGATTTCTTCGAATTTCTTTTCTTTTATGCTTTATGGAAGAAAATAAATCAAACAAACAGTATTTTGAAAGGGCTTCATCAAAATCTTTGACGAATTTTGGACACACACGACGCTGAAAGAACAGCCAAACTAGTCCTGTATTCGAAAGCTTGTTGTTGACAGCCAAGATGTTCTGCCAACTTGCGTCGCCGGCAAAAGTCTTATTTTTAATATCAGGTCCTACCGGCGTTGTTTTCTGAGCTACATCGCCTTCTTCGTGGTATGATTGAGAATTTAATTGTTGCTGTTATTAGCCCGTTAGTCGTTAGAGTATATCCGCGTCCAGCAAGTTGAGACCTTGAGAAAGCTTGGCAGTCAAGCCGTGCACAGAACTGACTAATTAAATCTTTGTTTGCTGTTCGCCTGTTCGGTTAAATAGAGAAACTGACTCTTAATTATATAAAAGTACCTTGAATTTTTAAGTTTAATTAAAAAGCAAAATGCTCTGCGGACATGTTCATGAGAATATAATTTTTTTGTGTAACGAAATCTACAACACTTGTCAATCATATTGCATGTGTCTCTAAAAATAACATGTGGGCGTCCCACGGTCTAGACAGGTTTTGTGTCAGGCCCTATTTCAAGTTAGGGCCTGAACTTCAGGTTATCAAAAATTATACTATGTTTCGAAATATCAAGATCACTTAAAACCTTTAAAACATCTACCAATCAATATTTGGTCAGCAACGAATACTTTTATATGGTTAATCCCAGTTGTTACGTCACCAAAACACCGTTAATGAGATCAAAAATTTATCCAAGATGGCGCGGGCATCTCGTTACTTCAAGTGAAAATATTTTGAGAACTAAGCAAGATATGAGGAATGTCAATCGGTAAAAGAAGTTATTAAATAATTTCAAAAGTTCTTTCAGATGAGTAAATAAAAATTTATATTGCCATTTCCCTTCAAAAATTGTAAATGTTTTATAATCTTCCCAGATTTTCCCCATTCTCAGTATTGTTATAAACGGATTTGTGATAAATATTTAGCGATAACACGTGCGTTACAATAAATACTTACATGTGATACCATAGATCACATCTATCGCATTGAACCCACAATCCTGATTGTGAATGCTCTTTTCGACAAATTCGACATAAATCACATAATTGTACGCCCACGTTTTTCCCTTTGGTTTTCTTCGTCTCTTTTCCTTCCCGTGCCTTCGGCTCTTTTCCTTTTCTCTTACATGTTTGTTTCTTTGCTAAATGAAAAAATAAAAAAAATATCAACTTCTTTTGAGTCTGATTTTAAGGTTAGCTCTTGGGAGTAGGAATTAGGGTTGTGTGTTGGGTGGATTTAATTTTTTTAAGAGAATATTTTTAGCAGAACTAAATTTCCTGACTGCTCGGCACGTAGTATTCGATTCCGATGGAATTAAGTTTGATAGTTTTGATACATGTGATGGAATATTATGGAATATTGATTGAATATAAACTAGATAGAGCACAAAAAAAATATGGGTACAGCCGTTTAATTACTTTTGATCGAGTACGCTTAGAGAGCGTACAGACGTTTGCTTTTGATAGAGTGTGCGTAAAAAGCATGCATTCACAGATACTTGATCGAGTACGCATATACCTATTAAAATGCACCATTATTACACTTTTTGTATAAAGAGTGCTGACTACAGTCCTCAGAGACGAGAGAGTCCTCGAATGAGTCATTGAACGCCAATAAGATTTTGAATAATTGTAATCTGTATAGTGGGTAAGTCGCACTGTGCAAACGTTCAGTAACTTTATGGTCAATATTCAAATGACTTAGTATAAGTTGTTATAACTAATGTGTTATTACCTCGGTTCTTTATCTGTATTTACATTTATCGTCTTTTATATATAGGTTAGGTTCAATTGGGACGAGAGTCCTTTCCCCTGTCACGACTTGTCTAATCCGCCGTCTTTATTTGTCTTTAATTAGTTTGTATCATGTACAAAGTGTATCATGTACAATTACATTATTATATTATTATATTATTATTATTATATTATAATCACATGCGTCCACGATTTGTTTCGACTGCATGGTGAGAATTAAGAGCAGCCCACATGAGAGAATAAATCTTGCGCGAAAAAAGATGAATTAAATCGTATATTATACTGACCTTGTACAGAATATTGGTAAGTTGACCTCGCCATTGCGCCTATTGTTTCATTTGGAAACAGGCGTTTCTTCGCCGGATTGCCATGTGCCTCATGCTGCATGGTATTTAAAGAATCGCCCCCATTGCCTTTGGTACCGCGTGATGAAAGTGGAATTGGTGCATTACAGGTTATCACTGACGCTGGAGTTATGGACTGATTTGTATCAGATTCAGTGGTAATAATGGAGGATGAACATCCCGCCTCATAACCCTTAGTAAAAATATCCAAAAGTAACTTGTTATTATAACATTTCAACTTCTTGTTCATACGTTGTTACCAGTTTGTTGTGAACACAACTACAAGAGCCAAGACATTTTGTTGAGGGATTTTTACGTGCGTAGCCTAAAACTTGCATATAGTGCAGACTATTCTTAAAAATTAACGTGACATGGTTATACGGCACTAACAAAAATTATATGTGTAGTACTATATTACCTTAACAAACAGTTCTTTCCGCTGTGGCGTCAAAGACGTAAAAAGGTTTTTAGTGTTCGGTGTCAATGCCTGTACAAAAAAATCAATTTGACCTATTATGACATACGTTTATAGACCAACTAATTAATTAAATATATTATACAATTGATAAAAATGTGATCGGTATTCGGTAAATCATTTTGTGTACATGCAATGAAGTATTTACCTGCCCAATTGAATTATGCCTGTCATTTCTTTCACAAGTCGACGGCGATTCGATGGAGTCTACCCATTCTTAAAAAAAATATACGCTGTCTTTTAAATTATATAATGCATGTTTAATTTCGATAAATTAGCCACAATTATCATGATAAACCACAAAATATGAATATGGCTACAACGACGGTAAAATGTTATTGCGCGGGTATATTTTCAAATATACCTTGAACCTTAGCATCAATTTTTTCCATTACTGTGGCCAAAAGACCAACTTCTTGCTTTTGAAAATCTTCTTGGGCTATTTCAATTGGCATATCTTTTACTTTATCTTCATCGCATGAACAAACTATACATGTATAAAAAGGTAGACAATTTTCAAATGGGCACTAAACTAAACGTTCTGCAAATCCGAGTCTTATCCCAACCCTACATTTAGAGCATCATATCACTTATATATTCAATTATGTAATTTATGTCATCATCATGCATATATAGTACCATTATGTATAAGATGTAAAACAGATGGATCTAGTTGGTCCTTTGCCGTATCTTTATGCCCTTTAAAATTCTGAAATGACCAGATGTTCGTTTCCCAATGTCATCCAATGAATCAGAAGGCTGCTTAGCAAAGTAGATTGGCTGACTGTATGCATTTGATAGACGATATTTTGCGCAGTGGTTTTTTGTTTCCTATACAATAAGAGTGTAAATATATAAAATCATAAACGTGGGCCCTTTAACTTATATACTTCGGGGACATCCGCAAGTATAATCTACTAACTTAAAAAATAAACCAGACAATAAGAACAGGCTATACCTCTCTGGTAAGGCTAGTACACGACTCAATAAAGTTCGACTGAATTCCAATAGCTGGAGTAAATGTCCCTTTTCGGTTGACGGATATTATCGGATTTATCCACATTAAAGCCTGTTTTAAGACATAACGTATTAGTTTGTATTTGACGTTAATGAATTAATTTTAATAGATAATATTTGCGTGAATAAATAATATATATCTTATATACACTAGATAGCGCATCTCTTTTAGTAAAATTGAAGCCAAGAATATTCCGGCGGTTACCCCCATTTGAATAAATGGCGGCCATTTTGGTAGTTCCCACCAGGGCACTTATATAAAATTTCACACCTTCCGCCATTTTTCATGCACGTACAAAAGCACGCTCGTGCCAGTTCTCTACCGCATCACACATCGATCAGCGCGCTATGAGGTCGTTTCCCCGCCCGGTATATAAGCGCCCTGGTTCCCACTCGCTAATAAACGCTTAAAAAACATCAATATAACTTTAATCATTTCAATAGTTTATAAATGTATTTATAATATAGGAGTAACTTAATGTTTAAGTTCCAGTAATGTTTAAGAAAACAAACGAATCTTCTCATTTCGTGGGAATATCCTGAGTCTGCAATCATGCATGGCTTCAATTTTTGAATTGCGGAATAATTTGATGCACTATGTAGTGTATATAAGATATCTATGGAATAAATGTTTTAAACGAAGTAACTCAAGTTTTATTTGCTCTACCTTCGTATCGAGCACTCAATTCGTATGATTCGACACTCAATATACTTATTGACAAAATGTTTTAATATACTTATTCTCATTCCTTATTATATAATACTATATATATATATATATATATATATATATATATATATATATATATATATATATATATATATATATATATATATATATATATATAGATCATATCATGCATGTATGGTAAATAAAAAATATACAGACCTTGCTACGATCTTCATCTATTTTGCTCCTAATTGCTAATTGGAGACGTTGGATGAATAACATGTTTTGTGTCAATTCTTCGTTTCTCTCATGACGTTCAGCTATCTCCTCTATCACACGTTTAAGATCACATGTGACGCCGACACTTCGATGAAGCTACAATATATATATATATATATATATATATATATATATATATATATATATATATATATATATATATATATATATATAAATATATATATATATATATATATATATATATATATATATATATATATATATATATATATATATATATATATATATAAAAATATATATATATATATATATATATATATATATATATATATATATATATATATATATATATATATATATATATATATATATATATATATATGACGACAAAGTAGGATGAGGATGTGGGACACACAAAATATTATAAAACTGACAAAGTAAGTCATATCTCGAATACGCATGCGTACTACATGTCGTAGTTTGAAAACAGCGTAAAGAGCCATGAACGGACTATGACAGTGTGTCCTGCTCACATTAGCAACTGTGGACAGCTGTTTCGCCCTTTTGGGGCTCGTCAGCACAGTGTAGCTAATGGACAAGCTGCACATCCAGATATTTATATGACGACAAAGTAGGATGAGGATGTGGGACACACAAAATATTATAAAACTGACAAAGTAAGTCATATCTCGAATACGCATGCGTACTACATGTCGTAGTTTGAAAGTAGCGTAAAGAGCCATGAACGGACTATGACAGTGTGTCCTGCTCACATTAGCAACTGTGGACAGCTGTTTCGCCCTTTTCGGGCTCGTCAGCACAGTGTAGCTAATGGACAAGCTGCACATCCAGATATTTATATGACGACAAAGTAGGATGCGGATGTGGGACACACAAAATATTATAAAAGTGACAAAGTAAGTCATATCTCGAATACGCATGCGTATTCGAG